TTGTTGTTCCTTTCCCCTTTCCCCTAAAACCCTACACTTACAGTTAACAACAGAACCCAAAATATGAGCAACCAGCAACAGGAAACAGTCTTGAAGGAGGAAGGAAGCATCTATGCAAAGTATCTTGAGAGTTCAGGGGACACAGAACCACAACACAACCATCTGAAGAATACAAGCAGCTGCTGCAAGACATGTGCTGCACCATTTCCAGTACTCTCCTCCCGGAGGAGGCAGCCTCCTGTCTTACCTTCTCACACAGCTGCCTGCATGCAAATATAAATTAATTTATCAAAACTTTCTGTACCTGCACATGAATATATATACAGTCTCTGTTTCTGCAGTCATAAAGAAAGCCATGATCTGAAACAAAGAAAAACATCAGGAAAAAAACACCCAAACAATCATTAGGAAAACCACTTTAGCTGCTTTGAATTAGAACTAAGAAGAAGAGAACCATAGAATCATAGGGGTTGGAAGGGACCTTTGAAGATCATCCAGTCCAACCCCACTGCTGCAGCAGGAACACCACGAGCTGCTGTTGAGGGCATCACCATTCAGATCCTCGGTGGGACCACACTCTGGGCTGGGTGCTCAGAATGGAAAAATACCCATCTCAGGTGTCCACATCTCCTTATTATATGGCACTTTGGGCAACAGTCCTAGCAAGTACTGTTTGGATAAGTAAATATTACTAGCTCTCCCATTTTTTTTAGACTGTTATACCAACCATCTTGTTTTTCCACAAAAAAACCCCACAGAACTCTTTTTTCTTTTTTTTCCTGAAGCTATTTAATCTTTGAGATGAACCAGGGAAGGAGGAGGAGAAGAAGAAAAGAAGAAAAAGCTTACCTTACATCAGAATTTCATTCCAGAGCTAGTCGCCTTCAGAAGAGGTCCCAGCAGCCAGCTGATACTTTTGTACACACAGATCACGCACAGATCAAACTTGGGTTTGCACTCTACCCTGCAAGAAAGACAATTAAAAGTGTTTCCTCCCAGTGGACACTAGACACACTGAAAATAAAGCTGCTTTATGATCAAAGATAGAAGTCCAGACCCAAAAAAACACAGGTAAAATTGAGTAACATACAACAAATCCAAAAAGCTCCCAAAGGTTTAGCTGTCCTTATTATCAGGCCTCAGAAAAAAAGGTGTTCTGCCTAAATTCCCAGGCAGCCCAATCTGAAGGAAGCATCTAAAAGATGTCATTTATTCCCACCTAATTTTTGAGAGAGGCAGGATGTTAGACACAACCTTTCCCCAGGAATTCACCTTTACTGTGAATTTTAAAATAGATTGCTACAGGATGGCCAAGCTAAAAAACCAACCCATTTAAGTTTTACATTTACTTTCAGGATTATCTACTTTAATTCATTGTTATCTTAAAACAAATAATGGATATTCCCTAACCTCTCTCTTATACATTTCTTGATCTCTGAAGAAGACAGAATTGAGACATTTGCAAAAATTATTTTTGCCAAGAAATCATTCACAGTAGAATATTCCTTAATATTTCCTGTAACTACATAATTGCCAGAATGTAGTTGCCAGCTAAATATGAAGGTCCCCTGTGGAAGAGAATAAATACACAGCACTGAGGGGCTGTGCAATCTCGTGTTGTACTTCAGAACTGAAGTGTTCTATAAAAACATTACACGATGTTAAAAACTTGCAGTGTGTTGCAACTACACTACTAGCTGAATTCTGCAGTATTCACGTGTGTTTGATGGCTTAATCAGTGAGAAATGCAGTGTTATGCTGCAGAAAGGATTTTGTCACCTATGTAGAAGCTCCCTGTGTTCAGCGCGGGGTGGGTAATGCCTGTGGAAGCCCACAAATCCATGGGATTCCACGTGTGATCCTTCCCCAGGGTATAAGCCACACGCTGCCCCACTGACGGCTCCGTGGAGCAGCACAAGGAGACCCACACCAATTTCAGCTGTGAGACCAGAAATGAACCAGAAATGATCTTTTCTGAAGGCCGCGGGGTCCTCCTGGAGACACCTCTGAGCAGGGACCTGCATCCTTGCCCCTGGGGACCAGCATCCCTGCCCCTGGGGAGCAGCATCCCTGCCCCTGGGGACCAGCATCCCTGCCCCTGGGGACCTGCATCCCTGCCCTTGGGGACCAGCATCCCTGCTCCTGGGGACCAGCATCCCTGCCCCTGGGGACCTGCATCCCTGCCCCTGCGGACCAGCATCACTGCCCCTGGGGACCAGCAGCACTGC